CGCACCTTAGGCCAGCAGTTCCTCTTAACTCTATACTTGTGATAAGCATTACCAGCCTTGAGAAGGGGTTTCTCGGTCCTCCCTCCACCTGCAACTTGACCAATCATTGCTCTGCAACCACTTGGGACAATTTTCTTGGCACCAGATGGCATCTTAATTCTGCAAGAATTCATAACAAAAGTCACTACTACATAACCCGATTTCTTTAAATGCCTACTAGTATGTAAATTATTCATTCACACAAAGCTAGCTATCAAGGATTGTGTACTTTAAGCAACCACTGATTTTAAAGAACCAGCGTTCATATATATAAACATGAGATTCAAGCATTTTGATTAACAATTTCATATTTCATATTTCATATCAAATGTGAATTCTTTATAAATCAATGAATGCAACAGAAGCATGAACAACAACAGCAATGGTATTAGACAATCGAATTTTATGGGAATTGTATGAAATTCCTGAGAATTAAAATCTCAAGAGAGAATTATGTGCTTTTTTTGGCATCGAATGCTAAATCAGGAGTAATCATTCTAAACTGAAGTGGGTATAGAACTAAGAGATCCAAAATTAAAGAAAATCTGAATTAAGATTGCTGAGTAAGAAGAGACCTGGTAGTGTCATTATCGGGATTGTGGCTGATAACAATGGTATAATCACCAGAAGCCCTAGCAAAAATGCCACGGTCGCCTACATGATGCTCGACGTTGCAGATGACGGCACCTTCAGGGATAGATCTGAGGGGTAAGACGTTTCCGACCATGAGGTTCGCCTTCTTGCCACAGTAAATGAACTGGCCGGTGTACATACCCTCAGCGGCAACGAAGAGCTCCTTCTGCTTCTTGTAGCGGAAGGGATGGCGGAAAACGACACGGGCTAGGGGAGCGCCACGGCCAGGATCATGGACAATCTCGGTGACGACACCCTTAAGATACCCGTTGCGCTCGCCAAAGTCGAGGCTGCGGAAACGAGCCGGACCCTTGCGGTGGTGGGTGTGAGACTTGAACACCGATCCCGCACCCTTACGCTGAGCTCTGATGACACGACCCATTGTGTTGTGTGGGAAACCCCTCTGAGGAAGCGGCGGCGGAGGGAGAAGACAGGGTTCGGTACAGAAATGAGGGTTAGGGTTTGTTAGGGTTTATATCTGCAAGTGGATGCCATTTGGGCCCATTTTCTTAACCTTACTGAGCCTATGGTTTAGGGTTTAGGGTTTATATCTGCAAGTGGATGCCATTTGGGCCCATTTTCTTAACCTTACTGAGCCTATGGTTCTGCTGTTGGGCTTAGGACTTTTGGGCCGAAAAGATGAAAAAGGGATAACGCCGTGACGAGTTGACATTGAAGATGCTACGAATGTTTTGGGTTTTGGGCTTTAGCATACTAGTTTTGTCTTTCTGTTTTTGGTACATGGTGTTTAGGGACAAAAAGTTCAAATTCTCTCACAATCAAATTTCAAGCTTCGTTTCTTAGCCACCCAACAGTTTCTCACTTAGTTAATAAGTTTGGTTTGCTTCTTATTATATTGATTAAAATTTAATTTTAAAAAAAATTAATTAGAAAATAATTTTTCATTAATTTCTCAATTCTGATATATATAATTTGTCTTTGATTGAAATAAAAAAAATTAGTCTCAAAATACATAAAATGACTAAAGACATCCTAATTGCTAAATCAAAAATAAAAGTTTGGTTTGTAAGGCACAGGAGGGCACAAAAGGGTAGCCTTACTTGAGCTATCAGGGAATACAGGTAGGTTTTTGTAAGGGAATGTTCCCCACGACACTGTCCCACAACATCTGCCCAAGAAAACCCACTATCCCCACACTAGTGGTTCTCTTAGACCTCAAATTATTCAATCAAAAGAAAACTGATATAACAATATGAAAAGAACAAAAGCGACAACTTTCATTCAGGATCAATGAAAGTGATCCTTAATTTTATTCCAACAAGAATTAAAACAACATCAGATAGATTGTAGGGACAGAATTAGGAATCTGTACAACCAAAGGACCCAAATTGTATTCTGCAAAACGTACAAGAAACTAAGCAGCTTTGTTCAGCATCAAGACACCATCTCACAACCAAAATAGATTATATTTTGCAGCCAACTTTATGATTGAGTTATCCATCATAAGACTAAACCCTCCATTAATTTAATGGGGGTGGGCCGAATAGTAAAAAGTGAGTACTGAGGAGTGACTCAATCATGACAAAGCACTTTGTAACGACCTTTAGGAGTAATAAGACAAAAAATTCAAGGTAAAATATCAATTTTGGTCCCTTAACTTTAATATTTTGTATAATTTTCATCTTTTAACCTTTTTATGTATTTTTTATCCCTTAACTATGAAAAATATACCTTTTTTAGTTTTTTCATTAGTTAATTCATTAAATTTATCTAATTCTACATATTTTTAATCCCTTAATTTTTAATATATGTATATTTTTTGTCTTTTAACTTTAAGTTGAGAGATTAAAAATATATAAATTTAAATAAATTTAACGAATTAATTAATGAAGAAACTAAAAAAAATATATTTTTTATCGTTAAGAGATAAAAAAATGTATATAAAAGTTAAGCGATAAAAATTATGTAAAATCAAAAGTTAAGAGATCAAAATTAATATTTAATCAAAATTTAATATTCATATATATTAAAAAAAATGCATAATTAATATAATAATAAATAAAAGATTTTATCGACTCAACTGGTAAGCTAAAGAGACTAATTGGGATAATATCTCTTATCAAAAAAATAATTGGGATAATATCTACTTCACCTTTTTCTGGTATCCAACGAGGTTCGGTAAAAGTGAATGCGTATAGTCTTTCACAATCATATCAAGCCAATAATATAGGGCTGCTAATCTTTTCGAAACCCTCGTTTTTTTTTCTTTTATCTTCTCTCTTTCAATCATAAAATGAAAGGTAGAATAGTAGAAAAGTACTCCTGATGTGATCTTTTTTAGAAATATCTGTTTGTTTCCTTCTCTTAGTGCCTAAAAATTTCGGTAACTTATAATTAGAAGATAGGTTGAGATGCTGGAAAGTCATGGGCTCCAAAATATCAAAAACAGAATAAATTTTAAAAAAATTAAAAAATGAAATTCATATCCAAACTCTGATCAACATTGCATGCTTGAATTACAGGTGAAGTTAGCTTTTGCAATCACTCATGACAGTACTAGTCCTGCACAATAATACCACACAAGCAACTAGAAAGAACAAACCTTAATTGTGATAAGAAAATATACCACGCATAAGGTATGTAACTTTAACAAGAATGAAGCAACAATAGCGTTTCCCTATATCACAGTTCTTTATTTCTGATCATTGACATCTGCTTTATATTGGAGTTCTTTTCATCTGATCGTTGCTGTCAGAGATAGGAAAACAACTTCTTCACAAGGAATGGTGAGTCCCATGTTGTGGTTAAAGCCAAACTCCTCTTCAGCTTTTTGGAGCAAGCTTTGGAACTCAGGGTGAGCCAGCCATGATATTGGAACAATGTATCTGCTCCTGTTCTTTCCAACATAGACAGCAAAATGACCTTTGGGAACATCATCAGGAAGCCCTTCTTGGTCATACTCTTGTTTCTTCCCAAAACCTGATGAGCACCTTTTCAGAATCTGTTTGAAGGATGGTGAACTTTGAGGTAATCTGTTTGATTTCTTGAAAGCCATGTTTTCTGAGACTGGATTTCTCTGTTGGAGAGGAAGGGTAGAGGAGAAAGTTATTTATGAGGGAATATTGTGGGGAAGGATTGGAGGAGTATGAGGTGTATTTATACGGAAGAGGAAGTAGAATAGAAATTTTTATGTTAAGCAAAAGTCATGTGAGATGTTTTTCAAGACCCTATGCAAAAGGCACGCAAGTTCCGATCCTCCTGAGGTGGGTCTCAAATTTTCTTACCTTTTGTCCGTACTAAATACAACTCAAGGTAAGTTGGGGAAAATTCCACCATGTACATGCTCTGGTTGCCGTGGGACATCATGCCCCTCTATAGGATGAGTCTCCATCATTTCCCTATGTCATGTCAAAGAAAGGACCAACTTTCTTAACTTGGGAATTGGCATAAAATTTTAAACCTCAAGATTGCCCCTTCCCGCAAAAGCAACTAGAAAAGAAAGAACATGACTTGATTTTAAGGTTTCAGATACTCCATGCGCTGTCCTTCCTCCCTCTATTCCTCGTAATGCTTGGATTTTATGAAATTCCATCTTAAATTATGTAAAGCTCAATAAATCACTTCTTGTCCATTGGGAGCACGGATTTTTGTTTATTCACATTCCATCATTAATGTGTATGTAGGCTCCTTCCACCATGCTTCCTACAAGGACATGGGACTTCATATGGAACCTTAGGGTAGGTTATACTTTGGCTACCCTAATCTGCTAGCAATCTTTCTACCTTAATTAGTTCAAAGGTAGTCATAAAAGTTAAATATTTTGATGGAAAACTTGACGAGAATTGTAGTTGGGTTTCTTAAGTATAAGACCAGAGGACATTAAAATTTTCAATCCTAAAAATTTAGTTCATAGGGTGCTACGGTATATGGACGGAGAAGAAAGTCTATTCATAGGGCATTGAATGATTGTTCCAAAATCACCTAATGTCCCAATTTCTGGTTTTCACAGCTCATATTCGATATTTTGTGAGAGTTATCCTTTAATTAAAAGGGTCCTAAAAGAACAGATTTCTGGCAACTCTATGGACCACAAGGAGACCAGTTTTCGTCCCATTCAAGGCATGATATTTTCGACTCAGCATTTAACTTGGCTGCACGCAATTCACGCGCGCAGAGCCAATAGACTTCTCACTTAAAGCTTCTGCCAGCAACAAACAAACAAAAGACAGCGGGACTCAGTCCCACTCAATCAACTTCTCCTGCTAAAATCTTCCCTAATTATCTTTTGCATTTCACAAATGGGATAATAATTCCTAAACTTTCTGTCCTTGGTCCTACATTTCACCAAATAGCTAGGCAGTGTATATATGAAATCCACAATCAGAAAAGAAGGCACAAGCTAAGCATAGGAGGCATTCAAGATTAGTTTTGTGATATATGTTTTGGCATCTTGGGACAACCCATGTGTCTAAAACCAAAAAAATCAATAGTAAAAGAGAATGAAAGCAGACATGAATATTTCCTCCTAAATTCAGCACCACCAGTATACCTCCAACCTTGCTTGAGCTTATCTCCGTGTTCCAAGGCCTACCAGAAGCCAGCCTTGGATGTGTTTCCACCGTTATATGTTCTCTTTGGCATTTCAACAAACATCTGTCCCCGCATGCAATAACCAAGACAAAATTTTCAAATGCTAAAGCATTAACCTAACAAACCTTCAATTAGAGACCTTTTGTTGCTGATCGCTTCGACCATGTGGAACTGTAAATCGCTTTCTCCCAACTCGACCAATATTTGGAGAAGATAGAGGAGTCTCGGGTGGGCAGTAAGGAGTAGGATAACGAAACCTACTTCTCCATCAGCTCCTTCATTATTTTTTTGATATATCAAATAAACAGCAATGTGAAATGTAAACCACAATTTGAGGTTATTGCGCTACTGCAACCATGTCCAACAACAAGCATGTGAGCAGGTTATTCCTAATTGAAGAGATCTATATCCATGCGGTCCAACTACAACTTTTCTAAAAATGCCATATCATAAGATTTTATAAATGATTCATATGCAGTTTTGACAAAAATGTTATAATTATTAGGTCACATGATATTATACATGCACGTCGTATAAGTGTTCAACATAATATTTTGTTATATAATTGACTTTTTTTATTTAAAAATTTACTTATAATATTATATATATTTATTATTATATCATACTCATTTAATACTATATCATGATTGTAAAAATAAGAAATTCTAGTAGTTTCGGTAAGTTATAATCATTTTAAGCTCAAAAAGCAAATTACGTTTTTAGGCAAAACATGTAAGAAATAAGAAATGCCAAGATCATATTTGACTATGAATTTCATTTTCAGTTAGCAACACTTCTGTCAAGGAAAATGTTTCAACAAAGGAGCTTCATATCATATGCCCTTACCCTCCATGGGTTTGACAAAAAGCTAGACAACGACCGATCATATATACATATATCAGTTATAATACTTAAGAAGATTTAGCAAAAAAAAAAAAAGTTATAATACTTAGGTTGTGAAGGAAACTAACTATAGAACTAGATCTAGAAATAGGGCCGCTACTTGCTAGAGCTACATTAATTACATCTTTACATCTCATTGTCATGGTTCGATTTCCAATTGCGATTTACACTTTGATGAGTCACCTTCAAAAGCATCAACCGCAATCAAGGGCATTCATAGCTGGAGGCTGGTTTCAATGCTTGAGTCATCCCATCAATCACACTCAATTGCCTTCTCAGCTTAATAATATGACTTTGCACCTATCACATTATACACAATGTTAAATGATGCTAGACGATTTCTGTCAAGTTTTCTACTTTGTGCATATCAAGCATGCAAGACAGAAAATAAAAGCCATAAAATGTTTGATAAAAGATTGTCAAAAGATATAGTTGATAAGAAAAACGACCTGGAATAAGCCCGCCTCTAAAAGACGGTTAGTCAGTCAGGTTACGGAGTGTTAACTTAAAAGTTTAACCATTCATATCAATGATATAATTCAATAGAAAGTATTATAGAAACAAGTTATTGTGACTATGCCATGGCCTAGATGACTCAAGAACTCATACTTTTACGTGTCATTGCAGGATTTCTAGATAAGCATACAGCAGATCCACTCACAATTAGCGGGAACTCTGAAAAGTTCAACCAAGTTAATTGCCTAAGTAGAAAAAATCAAGCCATTCTTACCTGCTGGCGAGCTGCTGCGAGTTTTAGAAGTTCATCTGCTTCAGAAAAATTCCTGAACCACTGGCTGAGCGGATGATCTTTGGTATCACCTCTTCCCTTTTCATTTATATTTTCAACAGACACTGCAGAAGTACAAGTGAACTTACCCTTGCAGAAACTCTAACCAGCAAAAGTTCAAAAAAAGCAAAGCAAGAAAATTTACCAGGAGCAAGCAAGTTAAAATCTGCTGGCAGCCGGGGAACAACAACACATGGATGATTTTGCACACGAGCAAAGAAAGCCTCATAAGGATCAGGAAAAACAATCTCATTGTAAGACTCCACAACAACAGGTTTCTTAGTCGACTGAGGGCCAGATTCATCTTCTGGATACAGCTTCAAATTGTGGTACCTGCAAGAGTTATATCATCACAGTGATCAAGGAGGCTCATCAAGTGAATCAAATCAAGGCAGCAACCAAACAAACGAACAACTCACAAATCAATCTGCTTCTCACAGACATCATTGTGGAAGAAAAGGCTAATTCCAATTTCAAATTCACCCCAGCCAGACTCTGATAACTGAAAAGGAGGTGATTCAACCACTCTTGTAGGGCTATTGAAACTGGGATGCAAATGAAACACAACTCTCTTTATCACCACTCCAAGATCCTCATTTGTTGCCCCACGTACATAGACAGTCCACTTATGCGACTGTGATCTAATTGACAAGGTGAAAACTACACTATCAACCATAACAAAGGCAGAGAAAAGTAAAACAGAATAACATATGGCAAAACAAACTTACTCACTAGCCTTTCGACCAAGATAAAAGGCAATTGTCCCAGAAACTATTGGAACACAAATTTCAACATCTTTAAGTCTCCTGTTTGCAGCCTACATAATTTTCAGAAAACATAGTATCATACATGACCCATTACTCAATAAAGTTCAAAACTTTTCAGCTTCTGTTTTCAATAGTTAAAAGGGTATATAATCTTGAATTTACACTCATGTATAACTAAGCATAAAAAAAACCCATCTTTTCAGGACTCAAAATGCACAGATGCTCATCTTATCCAATTAATACGAAATTCGGCAATGCTACTAATCGTTTTCTGCTCAAGACTGCCCTAAACCCATGAATATAACAATCCCCATAAAGCGAGGGCTGAAGGAAACAGTGTGTTCGAGGCTGCAAAGCTACAAGATAACGTAAAGGTAGTACCTTTTTGTCACCATCGGCAGGAGTTTTGCCAATTTTGATGACGCGCTGCTGTCCCGACGCCTGCCCGCCATCTTCTGCCAAGGTTTCACCTGCCGTCGGAGGCATTTCAGCATGCACTTCCACTGTTTAGAGGTTTGGGGATTTTTTGATCGATTTTTTTAAGGAACGTGGAATCGTGGTGGTCCTCACTCCTCCGTTTTAAATAATCACGGGAAAATTAAAAAAGAAGAAATAATTTTGTTGTTTTCACACGTCATCTGCCACGCTGGCAAATAAGTCGGTGACGTGTTACGCATTTGTTTCGGGCGCTGCCTCGGTGATTGATCCCGGCCGGCGATGAGGGCCGGTGAAGAAGAGGGAACACAAATTTGCAGAGAAGAAATTATAAAGAAACGATTTTCTTATTCGATTTCATTTGTCCATTTGGAGAACCTAAATAAAGCACACAACTTTGTAACCCAAATGAACCAAATTTTAAGAAATTCCCTAAAAAATAAGTAAAACATTTCAATTTTCAGATAATTTAATACTCTCTGAATTCCCAGGCGTCGCCGCTGAACCTTCGTCGTCCCCGTTGTTCACCTGCTCCATCTTCTTTTGCTTTAGAAAATTAATAACTCCTTCAAGGGCGACATCAACATCGTCGCTCCTCAACAACTGTTCAGCAACAGAGGCAGGAGTCACCTCCGTGTTCTGCAACATGCTCTTGATTTTTTCAAGGTGAGGGTGATCGCCGTCACGAAGGCCGAGATAGTTGTTAGCCAACACTGAAAAAGACGATGGCTTGAGATAAGACAGCTCGATTTGCATGTCCATCCGGCCAGGACGAAGCAATGCCGGGTCAATCTTGTCTTTGTGGTTGGTCGTGAAGATGATGATCCGTTCCTCCCCGCAGCCGGACCAGAGTCCGTCAATAGCATTCAGTATTCCAGAGAGAGTGCAGCCAGGGCCCTACAAAAAAAAAAAAAAAACCCAGCAAACTTTCAGCTTGGAATGCCCCAAAAGGAGAATGAATTGTAGAATCCCATAATTATAATGCACTAGCCTTGCCCATTTCCATGGGATCGGGAGGAATATTCATATCCTGCGATGTTATCGATGCATTCTTAATCTTCTTAACGTTTTTGGATCGAGCATGGACCTCTTCATAGCAGTCAACATCCTCAATCACAAGAATAGACTTGCTAGGCATTCTTAACAAAACATCCCTCAGCTGTTCATCGGAGAAAATACTGCTAAGCTCCAAATCATGCACATCAAACTTCAAGTGCTTGGCCATGGCCACAACCAAACTTGATTTTCCGGTACCAGGAGGACCGTACAACAAATACCCACGCTTCCAAGCCTTCCCAATCCTTTTGTAAAAGTCCCTCCTTGACAGGAACCGGTTCAAATCATCAATGATGCTCTGTTTCATATCTGCGTCCATGGCGATCGTCTCAAAGGAAGCCGGATGTTGCAAATACGTGGATTTCCTTCCGGAGTGGCAACTGAAAAGCTTCAACTCCCTATCTTCTTGAGTCAAGGAGGTGGATTCGGCCAAAACATGCTGTAAATAATCAGAGCTGATTTCTTCCCTGTTTTTTTCATCGAAAGATAGCTGAAAATGCCATTTTTGTTTAGAATAAGATTTATTCCCAGGGTTACCATCTTTGGTTTCCCCTTGAACACAGATCAAACGCCAGATAACTTTAACGTCGCCGAAGAAATCGACGATATTTTCGTCCTCCGGTAAACCGACGGAGATGTTTTTCCGCGACGGTATTTTTCCCATTTTGACTTTTCTTAGACTTCCCGGGGAAACCTTGCTGGGTAAGTAAACTTTGGCAGCGTCGAAGAGGAGGTTGCGTTCGACACCCCAAGAATCTTCGATGATGATGGTGGCGAGGGAGCGGCTACTGTAGGTAGAGAAATAATTTTGTATTTTGGACCAGAGGAACCTTCTGATGGGTGGTGGTATGGGGTTGGGTGTAGAGCGGAGAATCATCAAAGAAGCTGAGAGGGAGGCGTAGGCGTTGAAAAGAGTGGAAGGCGACGGCGGGTTTTGGAAGAATTCCATAATCGCGTTTCTGGCTGCAGCCGCTTCCATTGATGAAAAATCGTGTTCCAGGTTGCCAGGGAGGTGAAAGCAGGATGAGAAGGGTTTGATATCTTTTACGAAGTAGTGAGTAGTAAGTGGCAGTGATGCTTCTTTTTATTATTATTTTTTAATATTACACACTTTTAAAACTTACCTAGAAAGTTGTTAATAAAGGAATGGTGTCTGTTCCGACACTTTATGTTTGTTTAAAAAGGAAAACGATTTGGAAATAATTTTTTT